CTGTTTCTGTGCAAATACACACTTTTCTGGTCTACATACCAGATTTGCGTCTCTCAACCGGCTAAAAACTTCTCTTAACCGAACAGCATGTTCCTCAATGGTACTACCATATACCAAAATATCGTCTAAATACACTAACGCTCCTGCTCCCTTTAAGCCCAAAAGAACGGAATCCATGACTCGTTGAAATGTCAATCATCCACGGACTCCTGGACACTACTAGTTCCATCAAAACAAAGGCTTGGGACGGGTACCCTGTCAGAATCACCCGCGCCAGCCCCATCAAAATTTAGGCCAGGAGCAGGTACCCGTGCTGGCAATCCTGCTGCTGCCTTTTCACTGACTACATTCATTATCATTCGTGGCAGCACCAGCGATCTGCTTCTGTGCTGACCCTCAATCACACACACATTCACTCGCCTTTCATCATGTACAACTGGGGTAGCTATGGCCACTCGCCCTTAATAGTATTACCCTTAATACCCGGTTCCTTAAAAACTCTACTTACAACGTGCGCACCAAAAACTCCTGTCATGTCTAAATCAAACGGTTGAACATAAACTATTTCCAGGAAAGCTAAGCCTCGGGATTCAGGTAGTGCTTTCAGCACTGCCCTGACCCTTATCTCACTTACCGGATCCAGAACAAATTTCTCAGGCAGGACCACCTGCCATACTACACCATCCACTGGAGGCGGATTAGCTACTTCCTCCTCCTGTGAATGATCATCATCACAATGTAATGGGTCCCCCTCAAACTCAATTTTATCTTTTCTTAAATCAATAATGGCTCCTATTGTCCTCAAAATATCTAAACCTAAAATTCCTCCATATGTTATTTTTAAATGTCCCACCCGAAATGTCACAGGATAATTTTTGTCCCCCATACTAATAATAGGCTAGTCAAATTAAGGGTAAAAAAGGTCTAACATCAAACTAATTGTAAAAGAAACAAAGTAAGGTTTTTTAGATGCGGAATGGTGTCTTGAACAACATATCAAAAGTCTACCAAAATCCACGCGGGGGAAGTCCGCCATATTGGCCGCCATCTTTGATTTTTCAAAAAATCTGAGACTTATGAGTATTATGGCTCTTGAACGACCAAATATCAACCGAATAAGGCAAACTAAGTGTCTATTTAATGTAGAATTAAACCAGCTTTTTGATTATGTATAACATGTAGACATTTGACAAGCCAAAATTTAGCAAATCCTAAAAAAACTTCGAAATAAACGGATTTTTTAATATTTTTTCTCTTTTGTCCCCTGAAACTAAATAATTACTCAATTAAACAGTTGATCAAATCAATAATAATTTAAAAAAAACATTCTAAGAGGCTTTTGATATATATATATATATATATATTTATTTATATATACCAATATATCATCAAAATTGTTTTAGCCAAACTTCAGTGAACCGGCTTTCTCATACTATGAACACTCAGCTCTTTTGCTGTTTAGAGGAAGTCATGAATAATGGTTGTTAGAACTAAAGAGCCAATATGTAAGTTTACTTAAACACATAATATAGTTTTACAATTGACAAAAGTAAATATTAACACGGGTTTCTTAAGTCAAAGTTGTTTATATCTGTAAATAAAAAAAAAAAAAAAAATACCGGCACTTATAACCCAGTAACCTTATTATAAAAAGCAAGGTCTACCTTTTTTTATGTTGTTTGTAATAGTGCCGAGGTGCTAAATCCAAATTTTTGGCCTCGGCGACCTTCCGGATCACCTCCAAAAAGCTTAAAAATCGGCGGAATTTCGCACCATTTTTACGTTTGTGTGATTTTGACCCTGAAGCATCACTTTTTCATAGAGAACAACCATAATCATGTTTTAAGTACATTAAATTACCTATCGTTTAAGACCAAAATGGTTAATACAGGCCTAATAGGTTTCAAGATATGACCCAGCAAACAACGGCTAAAATTATCAAATTTTGAACTTGTTTAAAGTTTGGCTACGTTAACCCCAAAGCATAATTTTTTTATTATTTTCCATTAAAACCACCATAATTACATTAAAACTACATTAAATTACTCACATTTTAAGAATAAAATGGTGATTATAGGCCCAACACATTGAGAGATATGCCTCTTCAAGGTTCCTAAAATCTTCCATAAATGATTGTATTTTAAGTTTCAAGCTATTTAATTTGGTCAAATTTTATTAAAGAGCCATAATAAGAAATAAACAATTTTTTTTCATTTCAACAATAGATTGTTTTATAAAAAAACTGTTACTGTAAAATGGAAACAAATCCATCATATCTATCTACATAGACACACACGCACATTATTACCATAAATGGTTCTCGTGGATAGAACACAGGCCTGTGTAGAACGGTATTTATTGTATTTGTATTGACACGTGAGCTGGTTGGAGAACACTGAGGGCGATGGCGTCTGTGATTTGGTGATCCTTGTACCTTTGGACATGAGCTCGTCTTATGGGGGTATCAGTTGAAGATTGACTTGAATGACTAAGTTGAGACGTTTGGATGTGTGCACTATAATTTAGTTTTTCAATCAATTGAGACAAGGGTAATGGTGAAAAAATATGTGTGAAGAAGTGCTTTAAATCTTCATCCGACTGCTTCAGGGCACATAACCTGTTAAACAATGTGAGGGGGCCAATAATCACCTTTATATTGCCATCAGTCACAGGATTAACTTCAGAAGAAATATATACTACTCTATTCTTCCTTTTGTATCTGACTTATTCATATTTTTGTCAAAAAACTCTTAACATCGTTTCCTTGTCAATATCTCTAGCCATTGACAGTTTCCCTCCAACAATTCCACTGCTTAAGAACATTATAACGCCAGTTTTAGGGAACGGAGGGTGACGTGACGAAGTTACCAGTCACACAGCTTCTCTGTATTCGCTTCAACTCGAGTGACTCGTGAGGGTCTCATCTCTACATGCTACTCAGTTGTATGTGCCTTAACATTGCAGAAGGCCTACTCCTCAACCTCAGCACTTATATTCTACAGATAAATTATATCATTCCTAATGTCCATGGGGTGAGCGCGGTGTCAGTTATACCACGGTTCCGACTCAAACCTACATAGCTTTTCATTAAGCAAATGAGCACCTGCTCTATAGTCATGTCCGTCCAAACATCTGTCTAGAACTTTTCAGAACGCACAATGGTGAAGAACCCGTTGGTGGTAAATAGTGGGTGTTTATTGAAATTCATCTTGTTTCCTAATTTCAACATATCCTGCAGGTACCGATGCAAAAACTTAGCATATAAGAAGTAATATGTAGCGTGGCAGAAGCGGCAGCAAAGTTAAAATCTGTTTTCACTGTTGCATCTTCATTCTTTCTATCAATTCCTCTTGATAGTATGTACATTTTAATTACAATAGATTTCTTCCATCAAAAAACTTATAATCTGTTGTTGAAATGAAATAAATTTGTTTATATTCTTAGTTTTTATAAGATTTCACCAAATTGAATAGCTTGAATCTTAAAATATAAACATTTATGGAAGATTTTATGAACCTTGAAGAGTCATATCTCTCAATGTGTTAGACCTATAATCACCATTTTGGTCTTATATTGTGAGTAATTTTATGTTGTTGTTTAAGTAATTATGGTTGTTTTAATGAAAAAATATGAGAAAGTTATGCTTTAGGGTTAACGTTAGCCAAACTTTAAACAAGTTCAAAATTTTATAGTTTTGGCCATTGTTTGCTGAGTCATATCTTGAAGACTATTAGGCCTGTAATAACCATTTTGGTCTTAAACGATAGGTAATTTAATGTACTTAAAAAATGATTATGGTTGTTCTTTATGAAAAAGTGATGCTTCAGGGTCAAAATCACACAAACGTAAAAATAGTGCGAAATTCCGATAATTTTTAAGCTTTTTGGAGGTGATCCGGAAGGTCGCCGAGGTCGAAAATTTGGATTTAGCACCTCGGCACTATTACAAACAGCATAAAAAAAGAAACCTACTACCTCATTTTATGCAAGGTAGACCTTGCTTTTTATAACAAGGTTACTGGGTTATAAGTGCTGGTATTTTTATATTTTTTTTTATTTACTGATATAAACAACTTTGACTTAAGAAACCCGTGTTAATATTTACTTTTGTCAATTGTAAAACTATATTATGTGTTTAAGTAAACTTACATATTGGCTCTTTAGTTCTAACAACCATTATTCATGACTTCCTCTAAACAGCAAAAGAGCTGAGTGTTCATAGTATGAGAAAGCCGGTTCACTGAAGTTTGGCTAAAACAATTTTGATGATATATTGGTATATATATATATATATATCAAAAGCCTCTTAGAATGTTTTTTTTAATTATTATTGATTTGATCAATTGTTTAATTGAGTAATTATTTAGTTTCAGGGGACGAAAGAGAAAAAATATTAAAAAATCAGTTTATTTCGAAGTTTTTTTAGGATTTGCTAAATTTTGGCTTTTCAAATGTCTACTTGTTATACATAATCAAAAAGCTGGTTTAATTCTACATTAAATAGACACTTTGTTTGCCTTATTCGGTTGATATTTGGTCGTTCAAGAGCCATAATACTCATAAGTCTCAGATTTTTTGAAAAATCAAAGATGGCGGCCAATATGGCGGACTTCCCCCGCGTGGATTTTGGTAGACTTTTGATATGTTGTTCAAGACACCATTCCGCATCTAAAAAACCTTACTTTGTTTCTTTTACAATTAGTTTGATGTTTTTCCTTAATTTGACTAGCCTATAACTAATTTTTGAATATCCAAAATTTCCAAATTGTTTCCGGTCACTCCCTTCACAACATCATTACTCTTCATTAAAGGTTGGCTGCTGACGCCCTCCTTAAGCAAGGATAGTATTGCCCCTGTATCCACTAATAAGGTAACCTCTTTATTTTCAATTATACCAATTACAGTAATAGTAACAGTTATTTAATATCAACATAACATTATAGACTTTCAGTCCTACATACTAATTCAAATTATGTTTTGGTTAAAATAAACAATACTAGATATAGCAAAGTGTTTATTTCAAAACATTACATCACATCACAATCAATACAAAAACGGACACAGATACAATTAATTAAGCTTATTGTAAATAAATAACAGATTTTATTTGTGACTAGATAAATTTAGGTTTTTATACCTAACTGTTATAACTCATTCAGAAAACAATTCAAATGTTATACCAATTCCTATGCAAATTAATCTTCTGACGTCATAGAGAAAGGTAACTCCCCTGCATCTTTCTTGCTAAATTATTGCTAATAATAGTAATATTGTGGCATCCATCAAAAATTAAAATAACTAACTTAATTAACTGTTTAATTAGATTATTAAAGTAGGCCTATGTTCATACCTTCATGTCAACAGTTCAACAAAGTAGTAGTCAAACTCACAACATTTTTCACCTATTCAGACACAAGTGATCTCCTTTTCAAGAAATGTTTCACTAAAATATCAGACTTGTCAATTAAATTTAAATAAATACACACATACGACATAACAAAAATCATTTCAAAGTGGGCCTACTATTAACCCGTCGCGGTACGGAGGCAGACTCTAACATGTTGTGATTTTGAACGCTACTTTGTTGAACTAAATGTAAAGGTATGTACCTTATAATACACTAATTAATTGATGACAGTGTACTCTGACAAAAATTTATGGTACAAACTAATTGAAGTAGACATTTCTGATTGATCAATAGAATCAAGCAAAATTGTTTCTTTTGAGTTGTAAAATTGAATCAAACATAGAACTGATGATTTCCGATTTATGGAAAGAAGCTTGCAAAATTGTTTCTTTTCATTTAAAAAGATACAAAAAATGTATTATTTTGTTTTAAGGCGTGTTTACACATTACGATAAAACATATAACTTTTCTGCAACGACAAATCACTGTGTTTTGTCGGATGTTGGGCCGTGCTGTTTAGACGTTTTGTCTTTTACAAACGCTCCGCTTCCATCTTTGAGATGAGCGTCTGGTCAACGATTCGTTTGAGTAGCCGTTTATACGCACCAACCTGTCGGTACGTCCTCAAGAAATTGATGGAGTTTTGCACCAACCTTTCAATCCGACTCTAATTCTGACAAGACAAATCGGAACAGACATGGAGGAATTGTGTCTTGTGGTTTACATGTTCCGATTTGCTTGCAACGATTTGTCTTTGCTGACAAAAGTCGTTATGCTTCATTGTAGTGTGTAAGCCCGCCTTAAAACAAAATAATACATTTTTTATACCTTTTTAAATGAAAAAAAAACAATTTTGCGACTGTAAAAAATGCCTAGCGTTATTGGCTCGGTCGTCAGAGAACCAGTTAGAATCAGCTGGTTGTAGGCAGTGAGTGGCTAAGCTACACAAGGCATCTTACTCCATTATACATCTCTTTAAGTTAAAAATTGCTTATGAACTGAGCATACTACACAGTGAATGTAAAGCAGTACTGGGGCCATATTCCAAGCATCACTTGCATAAATGTGATATAAAACAATCAAAATTGTTAAAGCAAATTGTTATAACAATAAAATAGCCATATCACAGGTTTATTACTATTCAAAATAAACTTAATTTCACAAATCACAACCATAAAAACCATAAATAATCACACTAGTAGATGAAGGCTTGGCAACAAAACTGCTTTGTTAAATGTCAGCAACTTGTAGCTTTGAGATTCCCTTAGGTTTGTATTTTTGTTCGTCAACGCCTTCTAAGTTCTGGGATAAGTCATACTGAATGTACCTAAAAACAAGTCCAGATTACAAATTGTCCTTAAAGTTATTTCAACAGATTTATCTTAATATTTGTAAACAAACAATTTCACAAAATTAATTTTTCCTACAGTCACCTGACAAAGTGGCCTTCGTTGCACTGATTATATAGCACAGAAAACTGCTAATTGCTGCATTTACTTACTTTTACCGCACTTTTTTCCGCACACCAGTATTCTAACCAAACAACACAAAACAGAGTGATTTTATTAGACTCGTAATATGTGTACGCTTTAAAATAAGTTGGCAACACTTAAAGATATTATGACTACGATCAGCTGGTGCAGCCTTTCCCATTTCGTTCAATGTTTGGATTTAACCTAACCTAAAAACGTGTTGAACAGTGTTTGAAAGACTAATTATTTATATGATTTATTTTATAGTAACTGTAGGAAAAATATAATGTCTAACGTAACGTGAGTGAAAACTGCCTTTGCTGCACTCGAGAAACTTTCCACACTCGGGTACGGCTTGTGTGTAAACATTTCTCTCGTGTGCAGCAAAGTGCCACTTATTCCTTCCGTGAGGCTAAAATTTACTGAATATTTTGCTACATTGTAACATTTAGCAAAGTACAAAATATTTGTTTTTAGCAAAAGCAAATGTTATTTGTTAGAAGAATTATTATGTTTAAATAATTAATCACTATGTTAACAATTTTTATTTTGGCCATACTGTGCGCAGCAAAAACAGCCGTTCTTAATGCATGTGGGTCTAAAGTAGTTTTTTTCTCTCTAGGGAGTAAAATTAGGTGTTGTCAACTCAGTTGTAAATTTTAATTGTGAACAATTACATGTATCGAAAATATGTACCTATCGATTGTTTAATTGTGGATATTTATAGGTACTCCCTGGTGTGGACTAATGCTCACACTAAAGGAGTACTACAACTATCAACAGTACTATCCCAGACCTATACCAGTACTATACTAGACCAATTCGTAAATTACTACTAGGCAAAATGTGGTTTGGATTCCACTATAAACTGTAGGTCCCTTAGTTGCCATTGGTTGTATAGGCTATTAATTAACAGTCCTATCTAAGGAACATGTCGGCCTAAGCTGTTGTCTAGTATTACTCAAGTTCGCCGCTAGAGCGCGTAAGCCTCGACCGGACTGTGATGAGAGGATTTGACTTCAAGACAGAATATTCCTTCGTAGACTGTCTTCGAAGTCACATCGTCGTTACACGTTACTTACACTTTACGCAGATCGTTGATTTATCACGAGGGTTAGCTAAATACTAGTTAGGCCCTTTTTACGTTTTACGTTATTTTTGTTTTATCATATGCATCCTTAACCTATTATACATTTTTGTTTTCTTAAAATCTCGATTCAAATTATCTAAATATAATAACTTAACTTGAGTCTTGACCGGCCAGTTCCTGCCTGCCAGTGACTAGCGTTGGCTGTCATTTGGTTTTATATTAATTAGTAACGAAATGATGATTAACCGGTTCGCTGAACGAATAATTATTGCATTAAATTATTTTAGTTATTCAATGTTTTTGATACCCCAAGACTCGTCGTCTGTTGTGACTTTGAATTAGGGTTAATAATTGCACGCATTTGAACAAAATTTTTTTTTTATGTAATATTTATAAACTGAAAATTGAAAGGTTAACATTGATCTACATTGTTTTATAATTAATGACAACAGATGATCATATACAGTATAAAGGATACTACAATCTCCCCCACTTATTTTGAACTCATTTTGAAACATAGTCTTTAAGGTAATCTGGAGCTTTATGAGTGCGGGTTGAACATCGTATTCGTGGTCGTGGTGATGGTGGTTGTAAGTTCTCTTCAGCTGGTAGTCTAATGACTAATTCTGGAACTTGTTGTCTTGATAATACAGGAACTTGCATTGGAACTTGCTGTTGCGGAAGTATGGGTATTTGCATTGGAACTTGTCGTGGAATTACGGGAACTTGATTAGGTGCTTCTTTAGATTCATTGAAACGAACCTTCTTTACTTGAGTTTTTCGGAGTTGGTCTAGATGACGTTTCAGTGTTCTTCCAGAATCTAACCTTATGATATAGTGAAGAGTCCCTAGTTTCTGTATAATCTCACCAAATGTCCATATATATTTATTATTTTGTGAATACTCCCTAATGAGAACTCTCTCCCCCACATTGAATGTTCAAACTCTTATCATCGAAGGTGGATTCTTTGTCGGATGGTAAGGTTGAAGAGCATCCAGCTTGATGCGGATTCTACGATGAAGATATCGTTCTGTAGGTAATTGTCACGTTGTGTTGTAGAGAGGAGTGGCACGGTATTGTTGAAGAATCTCTTGAACCTTTGTATGTATTTGACGATGATCCTCTTCTAGTGCTTTTAATCTTTGCTTCAAAGTCTGGATTGTTCTTTCAGCAAGACCATTTGTGGCTGCATGTCCAGATGCATTCAGTTTCTAGAAAATTCCATTGGATGAACAGTATTTCTTGAATTCTGAGCTAGTGAAGGTTTCAGAATTCGACCGCATCGAAAGGAAAGATCGCCAGACCCTAGGCGATTGAAATCTACTTTTGACTGAGAACGATAAGTATGACCATGGTTTGGTTTGTTACGGTAGTTTGCATGACTTCTCTGATGTTTTGTGCCTACATTTGAAAGTTTATTGATATCTACATCAGTTGGAATCGAATGCTGATGTTTGTTCAAAGCCTGGGTCTCCAATCGGGAAGCTTCCAACGCAGTAGCTTTGGTTAGAATGTCTTTGAATGAAGTAGTGTCTGATTGTAATAATTGTTCTAAAATCCAGTCATCTTTTAAGCCTCTTATGAATTGAGCTCTTAAAAATATATCTGAGACTGAAACTTGTTTTGTACATTCACACTGAACTGTAAATTCACATTCAGACAGGTCTTTTTTTAGTGAAGCTACGTACTCAGGAATTGATTGATTTACTTTTTGATAAGTATTTAAAAAGTAATGTTGTGAAACTACAACGTTTCTGTGTGCTGAAATCATGTCACTTAGTGATTTGACCAAAGTAGCAAAATCTAGGTCTTTGATAGGTTTTTCAGGTCCAATTAATGCTGAAAGATTATTGTACTGAACAGAGCCAATTGAAGCGCAAAGAAGTTGTGCTTTTTTCTTTTCATCTGAGATGTTTTTGACAGCAGGATAATTGTCAAAGCGTTCCAAATAGTTTTTAAATTTTTCCTTTTTCTGATCAAAATTTTCAAATGGTTGAATACTTACTAACGTATTACTCTGCTGTAATGGAGGTTGAAGTTGAAGTTTTTCTGTAATCTTCGTTGCAAGTGTAGCTGCAAGTGTGACTTGGCTCTCAGTGAATGCTTTCAGTAGTGCTGTAAATTGTTCTGCTCCATGTACAAAATCGAAATTTGGAAAATGTTTTAAATCCAAATAATGAGTAGAAATTTTGAAAAACTTTTTCTCGTCGCCAATTGCTGTGACTTTGAATTAGAGTTAATAATTGCACGCATTTGAACAAACTCTTTTATTGAATGTAATATTTATAAACTGAAAATTGAAATGTAAACATTGAACTACATTGTTTTATAATTAACTAGCCACCATACCCGTGCTTCGCAACGGGAAGAGAACACTTAAGAGAATAATTACTATTCCATAGATCTGCTTTATGTTGATAAGCTTTTAGTAATCCACTAAAAGTATTAACTTAAAATACTGGCTACTTTCGTTTCCCAGAGATTGTTTTTTGAGAAATAAACCATACGAATACAATAGGTTTTTATAATCATTTTGGATAAAAGAAAGTCAATAAGTTAATCAATTACGCACTTAAAATGAAAACTCTTTATTCACACACTATCAAAAATTATTTATTAAATGAAAAATAAAAACATAAACATAACTGTAAAAGAACAAGAGGAAAGTTTGTAGATAGGGAGAGCCTTAAATAATATACGTATATTATTTTGATGACTTACTTATAAAAAAGGAAGGCACTTTATTAGAAATCCAACTATATTCTTTAATGTTTGCTTAAAGCTGTTGGTAACTCACGAACCAATCTCCGGACATGCTTGTTACAATATCTCTCTGCATCTGCAAAACAAGGACACTGAAACTTATTAACATTACTGTGAGATTAGCTGTTTAAATACTCTTAGGATGTCAAGAATCAGGTCGGTTTCATATCTTGATATGCAGTTATAATTGCAAGTTAAATTACACATGTATTGGATTATAAAAGTTATTAATTGTGTAACCCAGCGGTTCCCTAAGTATGGGTGGTGACCCTGGTGGGTTGCACTGAGACCATAATTAAAAATGTTTTTTTTTTTGGGACTCCGGACTGGATGTACGTACAGTGTGCATTACAAGTTTTCAGAATATTCACTGTTTAATGTAATTGGCTTGTTTTAACTTTACACTAGGAATTTTAAATGCCAATTGTTCAGGAAACTTTTATTCCCAATTTCTATGTGTGGTTTTAAATAGTTTTTCGATGTTTTGGGTGTCAATAACGCTCAAAGTGTCAATAATATTGCGATAAAGGAAAATGTCTTCAATGATTTTGCGACCAAAATTTTACAATATTGCCGCAATATGCAAAGGGCCAATCTAGCCCATTATTTGGTTTTTGGTCGATTCTTTATGACGCGTAGATAAATGTGGTGTTACTACAAATGTGTACGAAGATTACGATGTCACCGTGATTGTTGAAGATGATGACCTTAGTGACGCGATTACAGAAAATAGTTAATATGGATTTGTGATAGATACTAAGGGGCAAGACCCTGGAATAAAATCTCGGCACATGCTTAGGCCATAAGGTGGCAGCCCCACCATAGCACTAGGAAGCTGTAGGCTGATAATCTGCACTTCTGAAAGCCTCTTATCACAGAAACAGAAAGAAGAGTAAACCGGACGGACATTTTGGCTAGGACCTTTGGCATGAAACAGGCTACAAGAGTTGGTTTTTGGAATGTCAGAAAACTCAAAGAGACAGGAGGAAAAATTAGACAATTAGAGAAGGAAATGGAAAATTACAAATTAGATATTCTTGGAGTCAGTGAAGTTAAATAGAAAGATTTTGGTGAGATACGTACAAACGGAGGAAGAACCTTTTTGTATTCAGGACAGGTTGGTGAAGAAGTTGAGAGTCAAAATGGAGTTGGACTGTTAATGACAAAAAGTGTGCAGAAGAGCATGCTCAAATGGGATCCAATCTCAGAGGTTGATGTGGGTTAAATTCAAAGGCAAGGTACGAAACATTACATTTTTTGTGTGCTATGCACCAACAGAACTGGCTGAACAAGACATAAAAGATTAATTTTATTCCAGTTTAACCCAAGTGAACTAAACAAAGCAAGCAGGAGAGACATAAAAATAATTATTGGAGACCTAAATGCTAAGGTCGGCAGTGAGAACGATGGCTTAGAAAATGTAATGGGAACACATGGGTTGGGAGAAAGAAATCAAAATGGAGAGATGTTCATTAATCTTTGTGCAGAACATGACTTGGTAATTGGAGGAACACTATTCCCGCACCCCGACTGCCACAAAGTTACCTGAGTTTCACCAGATCATATTACATAAAACCAAATAGACCAAATTGCTATCAGCACAAAATTCCAAAGCTCATTGTTAGACGTGAGAAACAAACGTGGAGCAGACATTGGGAGTGAGCATCACCTAGTATTGGCAATCTTGAGGATCAAGGTTTTAGTAAACATGGAAAAGCACCAATGCGTAAACAAAAAACTTGATATAGTAAAGCTAAAAATCCCAGCCATCAGAGAAAGTTTTAGCATCGAGTTAAGTAATAGATATCAAGTCCAAGCAAATAATGGTGCTCTAAATACTGGGGTTGAAGACACTTATTTAAAAAAACAGACACTTGGAAAAATGAAAGAGATGCTCTGCAAGAAACAAGGGAGAATATTTTGGGCTACAGGAACAATCAGAAGAAAGAGTGGATGACAGTAGAAACCTGGGATGAAGTGTTGAGTAGGGTGGGCTGAAAAAAATTGATTTTTTTTCAAAATTCTAATAGTGCGGAAAAGTTGCGACTCATGCAGACAACAAAAAAGAAAAAAAAATTATCAAAATCGGTTAACATTTTCCGGTTGCGCATAGGCCCTAAAATTTGAAAAAAAAATTGAAAAATCATGTTTTAAAAAAAAATTCTATTTTTTTAATTAATGTTTACGTAATGTAATAGTTTGTAACGTCTTCTGAATGAGCCTTAAAACATTGTGTTTTAGTTTGGTTTATATTAATTGATATCTTCCGGTCGCGCATAAATCTCACATTTCACCAAGATATTGGAAAATTACACATTTTCACGCATTTATTGAATTCGATAAATAATATTGATAATTAGTTTTTTATAAGTAATGACCATAGTAGGCCAACTTTTTTGTTGAAGATATAATATATTCATATTATAATGTCCATAATAATTATGTTAGAAAAGAACATATGATGTTTCCTTGGTAACAGAGTTTAGTTGTTTGTTATATTTTGATGAAGTAAGATGTATACACAAATCTAAATTTTTCATTCTATCAGTTTTACTATTAAATTAACTTAATTTTTGATCCACAAGACGCCTTGTTATTTTAGACGATATTTCCAACATGGTAGCAGAACAGAGTGGTTAAATTAATTGAGAAGAAGTTAATAGAATAGTGAATGATGAGTAATGAAAAACAGATTGAAAAATTAAGAGGGACTGAGAATTTCACAACATGGAAAATAGTCATGAAGGTAATCTTAGAATGTGAAGGAGTTTATGGAATTGTTAGTGGAGAATTCGGAAAACCAACAGCAGGTACACCAAATTATGACGAAAAATTGGTAAATTGGTCAAAAAATGATGCAAAAGCCAGAAAATATATTGTTTTATCCCTTGAGACGAATCCTCTACTTAGAGTAAGCAATTGCTCTACAGGAAAAGAGATGTGGGAGAAACTTGTCCACATTTATGATGTCAAGTCAACTGAAAATATTGACATATTGAGAAATAAGTTCCATAACATTTCTTGGGAACCTACCCTTGGGATGAATGGTCATCTGGAAAAGTTTGACGAAATCCAAAACCAATTAACAATATACGGTAAGCCTATTAATGAAGATGATTTGTGTGCTCGACTCCTTCAAACTCTACCAAAGGAATATGATCACATATATGTGACTTGGCACGACTCACAAAGGGAGGTGAAGACATGGGACATTCTACAGAAGAAATGTCTCAACTTTGAATTACGTCTAAAGGACAGAGACGAGATGGATGCAGCAGTAGCCATGGTTTCCAAAATAAAAGTAAGTTCTAAACAGCCAAAATATATGGGAGCCAAAAATGCCAAAAAGGGAGTCTTGCAAAAATTAGGAGCGATAAAATGTTTTTCATGTGGCAAAAATGGTCATCTATCTAAAAACTGTCGAACAGGTGTAGTTTGTTTTAAGTGTCACACAAAAGGACATAAATCAAATGAATGTGGGTACAATGTGAGATACAAAATGCTGCAATGATGACTCGATCAAATCTAGAGGTAGGCCTAATTGATAAGTCATTTTTCAGTGAATGTGACAACTGGCTTGTTGACAGTGGTGCTTCTCACCATGTGACAAACCGCAGGGACTGGTTCGCCACTTACAAACCATTTGATACTCCTAAAAAGATGGACAGTGCTCGCCAAGGTGTTCATATTCAGGCCTTGGGGTCAGGAAAAATAGACGTTATGGTTTTTGATGGTAAACAGTGGACTTACAGGTACTTCGAAGATGTTTGGTACTGTCCTGATGTTGCTTGTAACTTATTCTCTGTGAGGAAAGCAGGTGAAAAAGGCATTCACCAGACTGTGAAAAACAATGGTAAGTCATGGGTGTTTTCTCAAAATGGAACAATCATTGCTTTGGCTATATCTAATACAACTAATCAATTGTATAATATGGTTGTTAAAGTCATTCCACCAAAAGAAACATGTTTTATTTTGAAGAAAATAAATAATGATTTGCAGTCTTGGCATGAAATACTGGGGCACCAAGATCATAGATATGTTCACAATTTTTTAAAATCACGAGGTATTGATGTAAGATTTGATAAACCGTTTTGTGAGGGATGCGTGTTGGGGAAATATCAACGATCTCCATTTAAGGAACGGCAAGAAAAATCACATGAACCTGGACAGTTAATTTTTGCCGATGTGTGTGGGCCAATGGAAGAACCTGACTTACATGGTCATCGCTATTTTTTAGTTTTTAAAGATGATTTTTCCAGTTTTAGAGTGACTTTCCTTCTAAGGAAGAAAGATGAAGTTAAAGATAAATTGCCAGTGTATTGTGAGATTGTGAAGAATCAAGCTAAAACAACAATCAAAGAGCTGAGAACTGATGGTGGAAAGGAATTCAACAATAGAGATGTTAAAGAATTCGCTGGGAAAAATGGAATTCACCACTCTTTGACTTGTCCTTATACACCTCAACAGAATGGGGTTGCAGAAAGGGAAAATCGAATTTTGTGTGAAATGGCCAGGTCATGGATGACGTCAGCTCCTCACTTACTAAAAAGAATATGGGGAGAGGCTGTGCTTGCTGCAACACATACTCTCAATCGCACTGGACCAACAAAAATCAAGAACAAAACCCCAATTGAGATATTTTTAAAGGGTGAAACAGACTTCAAACATCTAAAGACTTTTGGAAGTGAGTGCTATGCTTGGATACCTCAACAAAAGAGGAAGAAATTTGATGCTAAGTCCAAAAAGGGTTATTTGGTTGGGTATAGTGACTGTGGATACCGAGTATATTTCTTAGATAAGAACAAAGCTGAAGTGTGCCGTGATGTAAAATTCAATCCTGAGTTTTGTCAAAATAACGATGATAAACACTACTTTAACATTGAAGAGAGTAGCAATGATATTGACAGGCAATCAATTCTAAATGATGAGACCAGAAATCAGCTTGTTGACAGTAATCAGGACAATATATTCCATGAAGAAGAGCAAGATATTGTGTATCCAGGAACCAATGATACTGATGAGCAAGACATGTTGTGTCCTAGTGATGATAACGCTATTCCAGGTGATATATTACAA